TAACGAAGATAGTATTTTGGAATTGAAATTCTGATTGCAAGCATTTTTGCCCATATTTAATGGAGCTGTCAGTCAATTTGTTCAATCAATCGGAGCTTTGGAACCAAAACATCACCAAAGAGCAGCGACTGAACAGGTCTGAATGTTTGTGCCCGAGTCCTTTCACATCAATAAATAATAAATCCTAATTCTTATTTGCATCCAAGTCCACTCTGAATGTCATCTTAGGAGACTATAAAAGATACTCTAAAGCTGCCCTCCGCATTAGAAGTGTTACTTAGATGTCAAAATAACAAAAGAAACTTCTCAAAAGTTGCTAGTCTAAGTGAGCAAGAACTATCACGCACGTGTATGGTGAACAGGCTACAGATATCGCAAAATCACTATATCTAAAGCTCAATAAATTTATAAATAACACTGAACCTTTCCATATCAAAACCCAGTGTCAATTTCATCCTAGAAAACTTAATGAGAAATCCTCAAAGCTGTCTAAAATGGAAGTGTGTGTCAGATGTCAAGTTAACAACTACAAATTTTTATCTAAGAAGTTGGGTACAAAACTGTATTGGATGGGGAAAAAAGGAAAAAAGAACAAGATCGCATGGCCTATAGAAGAAAAACTAAATTGGAGGGAAAATAGCAAACCTAGAAGCAACACGAACGTTGTACTCTTTACCAGGATGGTAAAACTCCGCAAGTCCCCAATCTATAAGCCGAAGTTTCCGCTGCTCATGATCAATCATGACATTATGAGGTTTCACGTCCCGATGCATGATACCTTGAGAATGGCAGTAATCTAAAGCCTACAACATATAAGTACACAGGAAAGTCAGAATTGTTTTTGCACTTCCAAAGAATATCAAGTTTGAAAACTGTAAAGGGTCAGAGTAAGAGACACAAAATGTAAAGAGACCTATGAAACTTCTTACTTAACAAATAAAGCAAATTTCCATGTTAGCATAAATGACAGAAAAATCTAGCAGCAAGAAAGCCACAATCAAGTATCAGAAAGATGAAGTGCATTGAAATTTAAGTCCCAATTAGTTTAGGAAATTTTTAAGTAATCAGCGCCGATGGCTGGCCAAATTCAGGCTCTTGAGCAATGTCTCCAAAAAGTGGATCACCAACAGCTGGCTTTTCGTAGAGGAAGTAAACGGTATTGAAATTGCACCCTAACCAAAAGACCTCATCCAAACGGATATCCAATTTTGACCCTCTTTTTAGTAAGCAGTTAACAACTGCATAGCGTACATCTATCTTGTTATCATGTTAGAGTGACAGTAGCAATTTAAAATTGATTCTACTTGACAAAATTTGGCATAAAATAAGGAATATATGTCTCGTGTCAACCAGAATAAGGGATCATTGCCAGGTTGCTCTTCAGCAAAGCAGCCTAGCTCCTGTAATCCTCAGAACAATCATTATCTGAAGCTACATGATATACAGCCCAAAGAATAAAAGAATTGAATTAGGGAAGCAAATAATAATAGAAGCCTCCAAAAAAATGGATATTAAAAATTGAATAGTTTGTTTAACATAAAGGAAACATAGAAAATACAAGTGTTGGAGAAATTTGCAAAAGCTCAAACAACAAATGAGGTTCTCACTAGTTATAAATTCCAGTTTCTAGAACTTATTACCAATTGCGAAAGTAGATAAATCAAGGGACTTGCCTTTAGAAGTTCATGGATGTAATATCTAATATCGAAGTCTGAAAGTGTAGGATAAAGCACTTTAAAATCTGTATTATTCACATATTCAAATATAAGGCTTGGTGTCTTTGATTGCTGATCTCTAACAATATCCAGCAACTTCACAATATTTGGCCCGCCACAAAGATTCTGCAATATTTTAATCTCCCTTTTAATCTGCACAAAATTGTGAAATTGAATGTAAGTTCTTCGATAATTTATTTCTAGAGATTTTATAAGCGTATAAAACCTAACAAATAAGTGAACAATAAAATTAAAATTTAATCAACAAATATTTACAAATGATAAGCAATGCGCTGGTTTTGTAACACGTACAAATTGTCTTGCAGTCTAAAAACGTACAAAAGTCCAATTCTAAGTACAACTAGTAGTTTGTACACAAAAAGTAGAAGCTACAAGTCCTGTTGCATTTCCTTCACATATATTACACGAGAACCTCGAATGTATAACAAACCTAAGGAGAGGATCATTTGAAGACAAACAATCTGCTGTTGCCTCAATAGCAACAATAAACTAAGCCTTATTCCCAATAAATATGGGATCGGCTATATGAATCTTTCATCATTCTTAATAAGTATCACTACAATCATTCTTCATCATTCATAGTCCCAACTTCATTTTCTTCAACATTACTACCATCTTCTTCATTATCATTAACAATAATACTCTCACCTTGATTCATCTAATGATAAATTAGCAACCTCAAGCAACCTATCATCTTCAAGGGCATCAATAAGTCTCGACAAAGTCCCATATTTTATATTCTCCTTTGGAATAAAAATTTAATTTTCTTGATAAAAATTGCAGAATGATATGAATAAAAACTAATTTTTCAACTCCGTGTGAAGTTATTTTATTCACTCTAAAAAAGTACACAAAAGAGCAAATTCTCCTTATTAATTAAGCCCTTGTTTGTCATCCTTTACATTCTTTCCCATTATTTTTTCTACAGTACTCATTTTTAATCACACATTCTTTATTAATATAATATTGCAAGCAAATCAAAAACTCCTTTTTTAACCACACATTCTCCATCAATCACTATTCCATAATACATTTCTTCAAATTAATGGAGCTCAAACAGGGCCCAAGTATTATTATCTATTTTTTAATAAGTTATTGATAATAACAATAATGATCTACTAAGGGGTTGTTTGATAGGGATTAAAATTAGATTTTTTAGTAGATTATGATAGAAATTTTTGAAATATGTAGTTGAAAAGTCGTGGAATCAACAAAAGATGTGATTAATATTGATTGTTTGACTTAAATTAAAATCAAATTTTAATCCGTACCAAACGAGAGATAAGCAAAAACTCTCATCGATTGCCAACAATAAAATAATGAATTTTAAAAAAGTTTAAAACCAACAAAACTCTTCTTCACATGTTCTACTGTATTCAACACGTATCGAAAATTTAAAAAATACAAAATATATAAAATAATTAGTAAACACATATCCCATACATATTGGAGAGTGTCCAAACATATTTAAGCTTGAATACATACCGAATACAAATACAAAATAAGTTTAAAAGTATCTATGCTTCTTAGCCTAAGTAAAAGCTAATGTAATAAGTGGGTGAATACGTGAATATAATTTTAAGAGTTAAAATAATGTTAGGGTTTTAAGTGTTCATCTCTCCTTCAACCTCATTTGTCCTCCATGCAAGTGCCTCTCCCTTCGAGGCTTCAACCGATGCCATATCTTCATTCATTGTCATTTTTTAGATAGTTAATACTTTTTCTTTACTTTTACCAGCTTTAGGATTTCTTTGTGATGGATATGTCCGAGAAAGGGCCGCAACCTGGAGTTTCCGACATATGTCGGTGTTGTGTTGGAGTGTCTACATGCCAGATACACATTGAACACCAACCAAACAGCTCCATTAGCATGTTCGTGCTTCTTAGGTTCTACATGACATGCAAAAGCGCTCCAAAGTTCTAATATGCAACTCAACCCTTCTTTTGTTTCACAAAGTAAAACTATGTCAACAGTGCATTGCACACACCACAAACCAAGAGACCTCATCTTAAAAAATGTTATGTAATCTTTAGCTCATCCACGACTACAGCGAAAAAATAAAGACATTGATCAACTACTGCATTATGCACGTTCTTATTAACATTGATATGTTTAACTGAAACTTATTTTCTCTCTATCACCCACCATGGCACTTAAAAATATGATAAGAGTTTCATATGAACATAAATAAATATAATAGTTTTTGAAATCCCAAAGATGATTTGGTAAATATGAGGAAACCCAAATGAAATTTCTCTTTAACTGGTGCATAAATATTTCACAACTGGCTTCTCGCTTCTCTAGGTTTCTTCATTTCAAATTATTTTTGATTCAACAATAAGAGCATAAGAAAGAAGAATTCGTTGTAAAATGCTAAAGAAAACAAACCTTTTTTTTCTTTACAGGTTTAAGGATTTTGATAATGCATTTTTCGTTGTTGGTGTGCACTCCCTCGAACACCTCGCTATATTTCCCTCTTCCTACCTTCCTCACCACCTCGTAATCATCTTGCTCCCTGTTAGACCCAAAAATTAAATTAAATAATAAATTCCATCGTTCACAAAATAGAAAATTAATTTAACTAATTACACACCCCCATTGAACTGTAAGAGACTCGTAGTCCCAATACTCCTTGGGGCGGATAACATTGACGTCGGTATAGATCCGAGCCTTGGATGGGGCGCCAGGACGGCGGATGGATTTTCCTATCTTCTGCGCCAGGGTTTCAGGTAAAGAAATAGCGGGGCCGCGGCCGAGAGAAGTTAGTTGCGATGGCGTCTGAGGCGGCGGCGAGGCTGGTTGTTTCAGCTTCTGCTGGTTGTGGT